TACTATTTGGGTACATGGACCCGAAAAGGGTTAGGTTGTCGCTCCCTACTTCAATCTTTCCGGGCAGACTGGTTCCCAGCCTTTCCAGACCAGCGACACCGTCTTGTACCTGTGCATGTGGCAGTGTACGGAGTCCTTCATGTCCCCAGACCTTCCAACATCCCTGAACTAAGGGCTCTACCGAGAACGATAACAATAGGAACCCGAATATCCCTAAACCCTAAACCCCTAAACCCCTGAACCCCTAAACCCCTAAACCCTAAATCCATGATTTAAGGAATATTCCTTACTTGAAGGATTTTATGGAAGCTCTGGGTCGGACCTAACCTAGCCAGCATCGGCTCCATCGCCATCCGCACCACCACTCCCCAGAGTCCCCACCGCTCCAACGGTTTAGGGTTTTAGGGTGTAAGGTTTAGGGTTTTAGGGTGTAAGGTTTAGGGTTTTAGGGTTTAAGCTTTAGGGTTCTAGGGTTTAAGCTTTAGGGTGTTAGGGTTTAAGGTTTAGGGTTTTAGGGTTTAAGGTTGAAGGTTTTAGGGTTTAGGGTTTAGGGTTCAGTGTTCAGGACATCATCATCAGCAGCCGCATCAGCGTCATCAGAACAGAATCAGGAGCGTCAACATCACCATCATCATAATCAACCATGTCATCCATTTCTTCCTCGTCCTAGCTTTTGTCCGCCTCCACCTCCTCTTCCCCATCCCCCCCTCCTCCCTCTTTTCCTCCTCCTCCTCTCCCTCCTCCTCCCTAGTAGGAGCATTGATATCAAAACCGCAAAGCAATAACTCGCTAAGCTTGGACACCACCATTTCGTACCAAATCCGAAACTTCGTAACTTTAGTTAGGCTTTCAGAAGTAAACCTCGTGCCAGATTCTGACGCGTAGCTCTTTCCGAAGACCGCAAGCCCTTATCCAGACGAGCTCAGAGGGTTTAGGATTTAGGGAACGCTGTTTCTCCGAACCCTCCGCCGGCCACGATGAGTACATAGAGGCGCAAGGGGGTGCAACTCTGCATCCCATACACATCTGGACCCCGAATAACTTACCTTTTGAAGGACTCATACATTATAAGGACATCACAACAAGGAACCCTAAAAAAGTAGCTTCTTTATGTGTTGGATTTGCAGCGGTCCGCGTCTCTTCCAGAGCGTGGAGCTTGCGTTACGCTGGGGCCTACGGTCTGGTGGCCCTAAATCCTAACATCTGACATCCAGAGCCTCTGAGATCCAAAGACTATAAGGCCTAAACTTAAACTTTGGGGGTTTAGGGTTTAGGGTTTAGGGCCCTAAAGCCTGAAATCCAAACCCTTGCAACCCCAAACCCTGAGCCCTAAATCCTAAAGTCCTTCGTGCGCCAAGCAACACGGTCCATGTCCCCATGCAACAGAGGATGAGCTGCAACATGGCATAGACGTTACCTTTCTTTTAGGGTTTAGGTTTAGGGTTTAGGGTTTAGGGATTCAACACAATTTGTACCAACACCATAAAACAAGCCAGGAGTCCTAAGAAGCTACATCTCAATAAGCTCTACTACGATCTAGTTCGAAACCTTGATAATATAGGGGCCTTACAAATTAGAATAGGGTTTTGGGGCCCATTATATTTTTATTTCTAATAGGAAACCCCAAAATAGTACAGGTAATTATTGAGACCTCTATATCAGAAACCCTCGTGCCCTGCCAACCATGAAACTTAGCACACAGGCTCCGCAGCCTGCCCCGAAGGACCAACGGTTTAGGGTTTAGGGCTTAGGGCTCCAGCGGCATAAAACCCTACATATGTAGGCGAACAAAATGCTACCTCTTCAGGGGGATTCATCAGGACCTTGTATGAAGTAGCCCGAAACAGTAGCAAGCAACTTTTTTCGGCCGGCCATCGCCCTCAGCACCACTGTGACAATAACACCAAGATTGCAAAACATGACGGGTAAGCCTAAACCCTGAACCCAACAACCTAAATACATGTTCAAAAAAAGTTGGGGTTTGGTGCTTCGGCACTGACTTGTTTTCGGGCTAAGGTATTATGCTTCAGGGTTTAGATTCAGGGTGTAGGTTGTCGGGTTTGGGTTTCAGAGTGCAGGGTTTAGGGCTTATGGCTCCCAGTTCCCACCTCATTTAGACACTGCTTATCAGCTTGTCTGAACTCAAGGGTGGGCTGAGGGCTACAAGTTTTGAAGCACGTTTTGTACTACCATCTTCATGTGGTAGGGACTATTTGAGGGACGAAGGCTTGAAACTGTCCAGTACCCTAAGCCCAAAGCACCAAAAGCTGGTGGAGATAATTACCCAGACATTCTGGGCACATTTAAAGGCAATGGAACAACGAAAGCCGAGACTACTCAGTACTTGGAGCAAGAGATAATCCCAAACGACACCTAAACTGTAGCCCGAAAGCTCAAAAAATCCGAGAAGCATTACATTGTAGCGTCTGCCGGCCCACAAGCCTTAAGCTAGGAGTCCTTCAATACTTACCGTGAGTGTTTCAAGACACGTGGCCTGGGGTTGAGGAGGTTTTGTTTTGGGTTTAGAGTTTAGGGCTTGGGGTTAAGGGTTTTGAGGGTTGTGGGCTCAAGGTGCCATATTCGTATGCTCACAGAAGTGAAAGACTCGAAAATGCGGAGTGCTAAACCAAAACCAATTTAAGCAACAGTCCCAACCCTGGCGAACGAGGGCGCTCAGAACCATCGTGCTGCCTTTCTTTGAAGGTTTATACTGAAAACATATACCCCAAGACTGTTTAATACTAAGTAATGTACACCAAAACTGATTATACTAAGTAACAATATACCCCAAAAAACAGATTTGAATACTAAACCTCGAAATCCTAATCCTAAACCTTCTAAGGCCCTATAGTCCCTAAACCGTAAACCCCAAACCCCTAAACCCTAAGCCCCAGAGTAAGGCCCCGACGTCCCCCGAAGTCCAAGATGAAGCGTGCCGTGATCGGTGCCAGGAAGCGGCTGACCTGCGGGCTTCTGGGATTTAGGGTTTAGGGTTTAGGGTTTAGGGTTTAGGGTTTAGGGTTTAGGGTTTAGGGTCTATGTACTCAAATAGTAGAACATTGGCCCTAAAGTACTTATACGGGAACTACATTAAGGCCAAAGTATATACTATTTGGGCACATGGACCCTTAGGGTTGTGGAATTTAGACCATGCGGGTTTCGGGGCAGGGTTTGGGGCTGCATCAGTTTGCGGGTTTAGGGGAAAATTCTGGAATTTAGGGTTTAGGGTTTAGGGGTTTAGGGGTTCATGGTTGAGGGGTTGAAGGGCGTCGGGTCTCGGATTTAGGGTTTAGGGTTGAGGGGTTGACGGGCCTAGGGATTGAGGGTTCCAAGTTCGAGGCTTATCCATGCTTGCTTGCCCGTGGTGTCATGAGTAAAAACCCTATAAACCCCTTGACCCTTGAAATAAGATGGGCTCAAGGTGCCCTCGAGGTAGGCAAAGTTCCAGTCTTCTGTTCAAAATTGCATGTGACCAGGGACATTTTGAGACTCTAAGAACAACAGGCATGTACACTTCATGTCCAAAAAACAACAACCGAAAGCTACAAAGTTCGTACTAAAGTCTATATTTTGAGGGTTTAAAGCCCTTAAAATACACCCTGTGCAACACCATAGAGCCTTTATGAAACGCACTTCAAGCTACTTCAGCTGAAATCATCAATGCAGCTCCCTTAATCTTGCTAAGGGAAACCTCATGCTGTTTCAGAACTAGGGGCTACCTTGTGAACAGGATTCACGGTTTATGGTTCAGGGTTTAGTTACCCTAGGGTGCCAAATTTGGGGCTTCGTGGCTCATGCTTTGGGGTACATTCACTGTGCCGGATTGATCGATTGGGGCCTTCGGTACCTTCGACCAACTCCTCAGGGTTTAGGGTTTAGAGTTGTTTACTTTGGGGGGCGGGGGGACCCTCCTTGTCTGAATGTCCCATGTTTTATCTTAATCCACCGGCTGTTTTTCATTGACTCGAGTTTAAGGGAGTCCGGATGCCTGAAACAAGGGTTGTGACAGTCTGCGGCTCTGCTAGGGATGGCTTTGGGCTTGCGGGGAGAAGGCGTAAGGAATCAAGTTCAAGTTTTGTTTTGGATCTACCCAGAGAACCCAATACCCCTTGGATAAGGAATATACCTTAAACTATAGGGGCCTTAATATTATGATTTAAGGTATATTCCTTAATTAAGCGGTATTGGGTTCTCTGGGTACGGGCCTGTGAATGCACTCCCGAAGCCCTACAGTCGGCCCTGAGCGTAACTTACGGGACTATCGATCAAGCACTTCCCCCAAGGGTCCATGCACTCGTTTGTTAGACACCTTGGGTTCCCTATATAGGTGCTTGAGCGCCAAAGTATATATATATATCTCTCTCTATATATATGTATGTATGTACATATATATATATATATGTACCTAGTATGGGTACATGGACCCTGTACCCCTGTACTGTGATGGAACCCCCTCTCATCAAGTCGGGCGGCATTCACGCCCATGATGTTGCGCCTGATCAGGCCCAACGCCCTTTTGGGCTCCCCGGTATCTCCGAAAGATACTAACTGTAATAGCGGCACTAATTCGAAATGATGACGACAAATAAGTATAATAGTAAAGAGCAGGAAGTGGTCTTAACAAGGTAAACGTGGTGATAACGACAGCCTCTGCCTACACGTCACTCTCATGGGGCAGCCCCGGAGCAAAAAGGCAAAAACATAACATAGGGGCCTTAATAATGAGAACAGGGTTGGGGCATATAACTAGTTACAATAAGGAACTGCCAACATAGTTTAGGCAATTGTTAAGGCCGCTATATATGTGAGGCTTTCACACACT